CCAAATTATCTAGTTTGACTGTCCACAGAAATCAACGCCCCAGCTGAAATATCTGTTCATTTTGCTAGTGTAGAGATAGATGGCTGTGTGCTGTGATTTTTAAGATGTTAAACACTGCCTGTGGGCATATTTTATGGAGAAATAAACACACAGCCCAATGAGATGTATAGTGTGGTTTTAATATATTGTATATTCACTTATTTATGGGGAAAATAAACACACAAGCCAATAAGCTGTGTATTATTACTTTAATATATTGAATTTATTTTATACCTATATATTTTATGAGGGAAAATAAACTAAGATACACGATATTATTATAACACATCTAATTGTTCTATATTAATTTATTTATGAGAGACATAAGTACAATTTAACATGATGTAAGATTATTTAATACACGAGATGAATTCTGTATTAAGACAGTTTAAGGGATTAAGTTCCAGCTAAATAAGATATGTGTACGTCCCACGCTGAGGGACCCATTTAAAAATATGCAAAGGGTCTGTCTAGTCCTCTGTGTCACAATCTATGTTGGCTCCTGGCTTAACCTCACAATTGCTGCCTCTCGGTGCCTGGTACTGTAAATCCTGCTCCTGCTGGTCCAGGGGAAAGTCTGGAGGCCCCGGAAATAAACTGATTTTAGAGAAGGGCAGCATCTGCCGGAGAGATAGCCCCGCAGTGTCTGTTTCTGAGCGGGAGAAATATTAAATAAACCTAAGGAGGATGGATGACTTTCCAGGGCCCTTTAAATCTCCACCTTCCCAGAACAAACCAGGAGGAGATGGGGGAGATCGATCCTTGCTTCCCGCTTACCGGGTTTACAAGGAAGCAGGCAGTGTGTGGCGGGGGATAGACATGACATGGTGTCGGTATGGAAAATGAAGTTGTTGGTCAAGACAGGTGGGCCTGCATCTAGAGAAAGCTCTGGCCTGGCTTCAAATCCCACAGCGAAGGATCGAAAGTCAGACTCGCAGAGGCACACCCGGGCCCGCAGACCCGCCGCTCTCCTTCCTTTCCCGCAAACACCCGGACTCTTCTTTCATCTCGGGTCCTCAGAGTCCGTTGGGCTCACTTTAAAAATAAAAAAAAAAATCAAACAAACAAACAAAAACGAAGGTGGGCCTCCCAGGCGCCCCTTCTTCCCCGGCGTCTGGAAGAGCCGGCTGGGAGGACTCGGGGGCGGGGGCAGATCCCCGCGGGGCGGGCGCCTCCCGCAGCGGCTGTCATGGCGGCCGCAGCCTCTTCCCTCGCCTCCCCCCAACTGCGCCGTCCGGCCCCAGCGCCATTTTGAGCATCGTCTTTGCTTCCCTGTCTCCCTCCCACTCTCCTCGCTCCTCCTTCTCTCCCTACAGGCCCAGCGCCTCGCGGCGCTACCGGGCCTCCCTGGGCTTGTCGCCCTGCTGGTTCTCGTATGCTCCCACAAACCCCAGCAGCCCCAGAGTGCATGGGTGTCCTGGCAGCGCCACATTTCTCAGCTGGCCACTTTTCTTGCCCACTTGGCGGCCAGTTACCATCCCTGGGTGCGAGGCCTTGCTTCCCGAGAAAATCCCGGACCCCACTCCACTCCTTGGAGAGCCACCTACAGCTCCCAAAGAGGCCCAGGCTTCGCGTCCCTAGGCTTCTTGAGTTCGGTAAAAGGCCCTACAGTGGCTTTGGTCCTAAGAAGCAATGAAGCCCCTGGGATCCTTCCCAATTCCAGGAAACTTCTGCGCCCCCGCCAGGACCCCGAAGCCTGTCCCCAGGCCTCCTCTCCTTGCACCGTCTTCTGTTCGCTATACACCCGCCCATCTTTATCTCTAAGCAGAGGCCCCAGGACCACCCGCTTGGGACCAAAGGCCCTCTGTTGAGGTGCACTGAGGTGACCGAGCTTCCTGCAAACTCCCGACGCTGGCCGGAGCCGTGGGCGAAGTGGCCATCCATCGGGTCACCTTTGTACCACCGGGACTTCGCCGGTCCAGGAGGCTTTGCTGCCACATAGGCCGCTGAACCTAATCAGCTTCTCACAGGTCCTGGAGGAGCGAGGACTGGCCTTGGGGCCGGGGGGTGGGGGGGTGGTGGGGGAAGGGGTTAGATTCCAACACAAACACTCGTTTTCGTATTATAAAGACATTTATTTAATCTATGAAAATAATGTACAATAAATACTTTCCCTTTTTCCTATTAAAGAATTTTAATAAATAATCTACAGTCTAAAACATAAAAAAGAGGAAAATAGGTCCCTCTAGTTATTTTTAAGAAAGTCCCCCTAGAGTTTAATTATTCCTGAGATTTCATTGGAAGGAGTCTACCAAACGGAATTTTGGGTTGAATTTTAAAAGATGCCCGAGTGCCCAATATTTTAGAAGAAGGGGAGTGGATTAAACGCTAATTCAGTAATACCTGAATTTTAGCAAAACACATAAGTCTATGCGACTGGGGGTGGGAGAGGCTCAATTTTTCCAGACGGCCGAGGAGCGCGGGTGTCGAAAGGGCCGGGAGGAGGAAACCGGTTAGGGAAATTGCAGGTCGATGGCACAGAGCGTGCTGGTGAAGAAGTCCAGATCTTCCTCGGAAAAGGGGACCGGGCTGTCGAGAGAACCCTGTAGGCTAGGGGAGAGGCCTCCGGACAGCTGGAGACAGGAGTCGGCCGCGAAGAAGTTGAGGTCGGGAAGGAAAGGCGAATCCTGGCGCTCTGGGAAGACGTCTTCTGGCAATGGTCCCGGCTCCTGGCCGCCCGACCCGCGCAGCATGCAGCCGGGGCTCGGCGCGCCCGCGCCCTCTAAGCGAGCGGCTAAAGGCCGGGGGTCCGCGGCGCTCAGGGTCCCCGGCACCACCTCCGGCGGGTGAGAACAGGCTTCCCGAGCCGCCCGCGAGGCGGAGGGGCCGCCCGGGCTGACTGCGGGCTCCTCAGCAGGGTCGCCGGTGTCCTCTAGGGCGCCCGGACAGGCAGGCTCCTCATCGGGCGGCTCTCGGTGCTGCGTCTGCCGCTTGTGCTTCATGCGCCTGTTCTGGAACCAGACTTTGACCTGCCTTTCGGTGAGGTCCAGCAAGGCCGCGATCTCGACGCGGCGTGGCCGGCACAGGTACTTATTAAAGTGGAATTCCTTCTCCAGTTCCAGCAGCTGAGTGTTGGTGTAAGCCGTGCGCAGCCTGCGCGCCCCGCCGCCACCAGCCTCTGGCAGTCCCAGGCCATCTGCAGAAAAAACAGGCGGGACGTCATAGCGGGCCGTGTACTCAGCCCAACCTCGGATAAGGACTACCCCATCCGCCAAAACCAATATCACCTCTCCCTTTCCTCGACACCCCGCCCCCGCCCCCCACCCCAAAGCGGCTCGCTTTCACTGCTTTTGGGTTCCCTTCTCTCCCTCCCTGGTCGACAGTCGGAGCCTGGGTCAGGTCAAAGCATTCAGAGCCGCCCACGGGCCACGCAGGGGGTGGAGAGCGGCTCCCTTTCGCACCGGAACCTCAGATTCCCCCTCCCAAGCCCTCCCAGTGGACCCCTCAATTCAACTTTCCAACTCAACTGGAGCGAGGGTCATAAAGATTGTTCTTCACCCCTCTTCTTCCCTAGCTCTGAATTCTTCCTCTTATAGTGTTGGGGCAGAAAGGACCGAATCTTTTCTTGCTTTTAGAGGCAATCCCAGCAACACACTCATTCCCCTACATAGATACGGGTGAAAACCTCAATAGAATCATTTTCTTTTAGCAGAGAAAAGGTGTTTCCCCAACCAGCTTCCAAAATCAGAGGCAGAAAGAGAAAAAAGACCCTGGCAGCGGCCAGGCCTGCACCCCAGCGAAGATTTTCCTCTTCCCCATCCCAGCAGTAATGGACTGGGCAAGGAACCCCAGCAGGCTCGCCACCTTTTTTTTTAACCTCCTCCCACTGCTTTTTCTCCCCCTCTTCTAGCTGCCCCTCACCCCACCCCCACCACGCTTACTGACCTGCAAGCGATCCGACCCCGGAGGCCCGGACCGCGGAGGCGGCCGGGGAAGGAGACGTGGCGAATTGGCTGGGTTTCTTGGCGGATTTCTTCTCTTTCATCCAAGGGAACTCGGGAGCCAGGGGGGCAGTGGGGAGCGGCAGCGGTGGCGGCGGCAGAGCAGGCCCATCTTCGGCTCGCTTTTGGCTCCTGGGTCTCTGAAGGGTGGAGGCGCCGGGCTGGAGGCTGGGGAAGGTTTGCTCGAAAGGAGGAGGAGGAGGAATTAATGTCGACTCCTTGATTGATGAAGTTTGAAATGTCTCCAAGACAGCGGGGAAGGAAGTCAGACACTCGGCGAGCGATGGCTGGCTGTTTATAAACCCAATCTCCCTCTCAAATTCAAAATTCATGGCTTTCAATGGTGGGGGAGGGGGCTGCTGGGGGGGGGCGTCAGGAGGGAGGATCGGAAGGGACCCCCCCTCCTGCCCCCCCCAGATTTATATAATGGAGCGATTTTGGGAGGGGGAGATTTCGGTCTCTCTTTTTTTAAATTTTGGGCCTTTATAATTGTATATTGCTGATAAATACAAGCGTATGGGGACTCTCTCTATTAAACCCAGGACTCGGGCGAAATTACAGGGAATTCGTGGTCACGGGACCGGTCTCCGCCAATCGCTCGTCTGGGCCTGGTGGAAAACAGAGAGCATTATTTGCTTTAATTGATTCAAAAACTCCAGAGGACCACGACCTGGACACCATGAGCCCCATTCCTCCACCAGTGCTTCACACGCTCTCTCCCCAGTGCCTCCCTTCTCCAGAAAAGCTAGGGGAACCTCTTCCTCAATCCCTCCGGAGGTTAGGAGGTTTTGGAAGCCTGGAAAGGAAGAGAATCTAAGGGAGAAATCTTCCTCTTTTCCAAGTATTTTCATAGAGTAAATTAAGGCTTTCTTTACATGGCCAGCAGCATCCTTTTCTCTTCTCCCCCTCCCCAAGAAAAGATGAGTGAGGATCTCCCCATTGGAGAAAGAGGGAGTTGAAAGAGGCTTCCACTCTGAAAAAGGTCAGTGTTAAGGTGCAAATAACAAAGAGATTTACAATCATCAGCACCACTATCCCCATGTCACCCTCCAAAAGCAACAGTTAAATCTTAGAAAATGGACAGGAACTCCCAGGCTGACACATAGAAGTGAGATGGAGCATGAGGAGCATTTTTGGGCCTCTAGCCCCCATAGCTGTGTGGCCTGGGTTCTTCTCTGCCCAGTGTTTGCAGCACTGCCTTTGCCTCTTATGTCCCCCTGCTTTCCTCATTTTGAGGCATCCATGCTTCTTTGTGACACCCCCTCCCCGCAAAACAGGCAGAGTCTAAGATGTGCATGTACCCACTCCAGCCTCAAGCTTGTATCTGTATCCATATCCAGGGGCATAAACAAGAACTGAGGTAGCCACTGATTTAACTTAGAGCACTCTCAAAGTTCAGGTCAGCATATGTGTGTGCCTGGTGTGGTGGAGAGCTTTTCCCCTAGGACAAAGAGACTTTCCTCCCATTTTTGCCATTGTGCTAGTTTAAAAAAAAAAAACATCCCTGACAAGGAAGAATTCCCTGAAGATGGTGGGAGTGGAAATAATGACCACTGAGATGATACTTCATTTCTGGCTCCTAGGGAAAAATGTTTTTAAATTTTATTTTGAGAAGACCAAGATAGTCTAAAGTTTAGAATGTTGTAATTTACTATAGGGAGAGGGCACAAGAAACTAGGCCTGGAAAACAGAAAATGAAAAGTCGAGCTGGGGGAAGATTTTTAAATACGTGGGTCAGAGGGACAGAGAGGAGATGAGGCGATCAATCTTAGCCCTCTGACAGCTCCCTCCGATTGCATCAAAGAATTTGGCTCTTTGGAAAAGCAGAGGGAACAGCCAAAATTTCACATCCCTTAAAAAGGCCTGGGGGTGGGGGTGGGGGTGCAAAAGAGAAAGGTGATTCTGGGAGAGCTGGGAAACAGATGGGAAATGGGGACAGAGGGAAGGCGCTAAGTTGGGTGGAAAGTTTGCCTGGAGAACTCTCACAGTTCTGGCCTCCCCTCCCCCTCCTGTCTCTCTGCTGCCCAGCCAGGAGGAGAAGGCTGGTTAGCAAAGAAATGGCAAGCGAGCCCGGAGCTGGAACTAGAAACTTTCTGTCAATGTTGTATCTGCGTGGGTGGTGGTGAGTATTTTAAAAAGATGGGCAGAGAATTCTGAGTAGAAGGATGATGGTGGGGGAGAGGAGGATAGAGAAAGGGGAATTGAAGGTGGGGGCTGCGGGGACAGCGGGAGGCAGGAACAGGAGGGCTCTGAACTGAGAGAGAGAGCGCTGCAACCCAGGCAAAGTGGCCAGCGACAATAGAGTGCAACTCGGCTCCAAAGAAAACAATTTTTACCATTTGGAGGTGTGGATAGGGGGTGGGCATGGAAGAATCCAAATAGTAGCTGTCTGGAAGTCATTCAGGGAGGCCTGAGAAAGGGTTCTCCCTCTGGCCATCCCCTTGAACACCTCTGCGAGTTTAGCAACAACTTCTCCAGCTGGCTGAAGGATCCAGAGCTTATCTTGGGCAACTCGGGCAGAGACTGTCCCTGCAGGAAATACAGCTCTCTCTAACCCTCACTGACAGATTTTATGGCCAGATTAGCGAACAGCGGAAAACTTGGGTGTTAAAGGGGCCAAGAGAACCCTCCTTGTCAGACACATCCCTCCTCCGCACGCACCCCCGCCCCCCGTCCTGCTGTGAATTTTACAGCACGGATATTTTACCCAAGTCTTTGGCTGCTTTCGCTGAGCGCCTGGAATCTCCCAAAGAGAAGGATAGGGAACACCAAGCCAAGTTGGTTCTTATTTTTCTTGCTTTCAATTCCAGGTTTGAGCCAAAGCTCTGTTTTTCAAACTTAAGCTAAATTCTCTCTCTTGGCCTGTCTCTTTCCTGCTAGATAAATAAGCAACCCAACCCAACCCCAGAGCCAAACATAGCGCTTCATCTAGTTATATCATTCAGAACATGTTATTCAGGGAAGAAGAGAGAAAGGAAAAAAAAAAACCCTTGAGCGTTATTTGATCCCAATCAAACTTTGCACGCTCTTATGCCTTTAAATTACAGCCTGACCAATGCTAAATTGCTTGCTGCTTGGATGAGCCGAGTCCAGTTAAAATCCTACTTGGTGGTAGGGAAGGGGGAGGGTGTAGAATTCAGGTTGCTTTTTTATTGTTATTTATTGTTGCATAAAGACTATAATTACTAACCTTGGACTGCCAGGATGCAACATAAAAATGAAAATCAGCCCTCGCTTTAAAGCAGGGCCTGGAACGATTCTCATCCCCCCCCCCATCACTACCACCAAATATATGCTCCTAATTAAGCAATGCGGGCACATCGCTTACAATTAGAATTATGCAACTCTTCAGCAAGCAGCCATCGCTTCTTTCAACGAATTAGCTCCATATTTCAGCCGCCCTGTCTTCTCGCTCTTATCGGCTCCGGCGACTCGGCGGTGACATTTCATCTTTGACAGACCCTCTCTATTCTCACTCCAATGTGATAAAACTTTTATGGAACCACGACTAAGAAATGAAGTTTTCCCAAGGATGGTGGAAACAGAGCCGCACATTAGCCTGGGGACCATTTTATTTACGTTTGGATCCAACAGCTTCTCCCACCCTCCTCTCCCCTTTCTCTGGCAGGGGAAATCAAACGTGCCTCCTCTCCCTCCGCCTTGAGTTTTATTTAGTGATTTAATTTTACTTAGTTTTAAAGTTTGACCTGAGAAGTCTAGGCCTCAGATTTTTTTTTTTAGATTAATCATTTTTCTTTGTTTTCATTTTAGACCCAATGGTGGTTGGGCTTCGGGTCACGTGACAACTTCTTTGTAGCTCCGGAAGAGGACTGTGAAGTTTAGGTTTCGTGGAAGAAACCGTAATCGGCCAGATTTTCTTGTTGGTAGTGGGAAGGGGTGAGGGGTGCATGGAGGTTGTGGCCAAAGGAGCTAACAGATGAAATGTCAATGAATGAAAAACCGAGAGGCACAGAGGCCAAACAGAAAAACCTGCAGAGAGCACCCAAGAGTCCCCCCTTACCTCCCAACTTGTTACTTAAACCACAGCTGAAGAAGTTGGCAAAATGTTCCAGGCTCTTATGAATGAGAAAGTGGTATTTAAACCTGATACATATCAAGGGGGAGATAGAAACTTGGGCAGTGGACAAAAGGCCAGGGAAGGGTCTTCAGTGCCTTTGTCCTTCTTCCCTTGGGGGAAATTTGGCAGTCAGCAGCCTTGCTATGCTATCTAAATTGGACCAGCAGGACAAGATAAAATTGATAACACAAAGTTTATTCAAGAATTGTTTGACAGACAACCCTTTTAGGTAAGGAAAAAAGTAACTACTGAAGAACAAAGAAAGTTCCAAGAGGGAATTAACTCTAGTTCTACAAATTCAGGACTATACAGCGACAATTAGGAGCTGAGTTCATGCCTTTTAGAACTAATTACAATTGTTCATAAGTACTAGTTTAACATAAATCTACAGCTCTTTTCTAGAGTACAATAATAACTAAAATAGCTGGTTTTACATGACAGAAAACACAATGTCCTTTATAACAAGTAAATACTAAAAAAGTACAATTTTTTCATTTTTTTCCCTCATATAAATACATAATGTAGGGGGATAAATAATACAAAAAAGAAAATATTTTAACAGGCTATAACCAATAAATATATATGAAAATGTTCACTAGAACACACGCTTTTTTGAGCGATGCGGACTTCTGCAGGCCCAGACATCTCTCACAGTTGTTTTTATATCCATTAAAATGTAAACTCTAAGTGCAACAAAAGTGCCCTGTCAGGAGACTGAGCAAGGCATACAGGCCCTGCAGCAGCCCCTGCCTGGGACAGTCAGTTTGTTCAAATATACCCTGTTTTCACGTTAAGTCAAGAGAGCAACAGAAAAAAAGAAAAGTGGAGAACCTCGTGTCACCAACTGCTTTCTGTGGAGAGAGGGGGATGGAGCTGGAGCTGAAATGGAGGCAGCAGAATGGGCAAGCCTTCAGTCCTAACAACCTGCCTGCCCTAGCCTCCACACTTTTCCTTAAAAATATATATATCATTTATAATATAGGCAGCTCTTTCAGGATCTCTCACCATCCCTGAGCCCTCTAAAAGCTGTAATTGATGAGGGTGGGATGTATAGATATGAATGTCTTAGAGCAGAAAAACCTGGGGCTGGAAATGGAGGGGGTAGGTACCTCAATAAACCTCAAATAAATGGGAACAAATTCGAGGACTGGGGGAAGTTGAAAGGGAACGTGCTTTGTGCCCTTTGGGTTTGAAACGTGTTTTCTTATTTTTTTAAAGGAGAATTGAGGAAAAAAAAATCAAGATTTGGGGGGAATTACCTACGAAGATGTAAGGTAAGTCCGTTGGGTGGTGATGGCCTAGCCATCTTGTCTGGTTTTTAAAATGTGCTTCTCTGCCTCGTCCTATCTCATCTTCCTCTACCCCACTCCCGGGCGTGGAATTCCAACTTGGTAGTGCTGGAGCCCTGGGGTTGATGGGGTCATCTCCAATCTGCTGTGGATTCCTTTCCGATGGGTTGGCAGGCAGATGGAGCAAGGGGTGGAGGACTTAAAAGCAACCTCTCAGGCCAGGAGGAGGGGAAGGAGTTTCAGGCTGGTTCTGCGCAGGCAGCCTGACTACTACCTCCCTGGCCCCTCTTTCAGACGTCCAGGCTGCCCCCACAGAGCTCCACAGTCTCCCTCCTCCTCCCCATCCCCTAACCCTCGTCTGCCCTCTCCCATCACAGGTGCGTTAATTTGGGCGCTTCTTGGATTCTACCCTGAGGAGGAGGCGCATGGTGAGAGGAGAGGTCTGTGTAGGTGGGATGGGGGTCGCAGGGTCCGTGGTGCTGGCTGGGGGCCATAGGGGGCGCCCCGTTGTAGTCCAGGTTCCCGGAAGGGTGATGGGAAAGGTGGTTGAGGCCATAGAGGGAGGGGCCGGCAGGGGGCGGCAGCGGATCTGCGTAGCCACCTCCGCCCACGTAAACCGGACTGCCCTGCATGGTGGGCGTCCCGTAGGCGCCCCCGTTGGCTTGGAGGACGTGCGGCTCATACTCGGGCGCCGGGGGCGGGGGGTACTTCTGCGGGGCGCCACAGCCTTTGAGAGGAGGCTGGTAGTTGGAGGGCAGCGCGTAGGCATTCTGGTGGGCTTTGCCGAAGGCGGGCGGGGACGGACTCTCGTAGCTGGGGGTCATGGAGTGTAAGGCGTTCATGAAGCCGGCCGTGGACTGCATGGCCTGAAGGGGGCTGCCGGCGGGAGAGGGGCCCCCTGACGACGAGGCCAGCCCCTTGGCCTTCTGGTCCTTCTTGTACTTCATGCGCCGGTTCTGGAACCAGATCTTGATCTGCCGCTCGCTGAGGTTCAGCAGGTTGGCCATCTCCACACGGCGAGGCCGGCACAGGTAGCGGTTGAAGTGGAACTCCTTCTCCAGCTCCACCAGCTGTGCGCTCGTGTACGCCGTTCGCGCCCTCTTGGATGCCGCCGACCCCGGGGGGCTCTTGTCCCCTCCCGTGCCGCCGCCGCTGCCGCCCCCGCCGCCACCACCGCCTCCGCCGCCGCTGCTGCCACCACCGCCGCCGCCGCCGCCACAGCCCTCTGCTGGATCCGAGGAGGAGGGGTGGGAAGGGAGAAAATGAAATAAAAGATAATTACTGAACACACCGAAATTGAATGCATCGTTTCTTAATAAATCCAGGCCTGGACTGGGAGCCCCCGCCGCCTCCCCTTCGCGTCCCTGCCTCCTCCTCACTCCCCCACCCCACCGCCCGTCGCATTAGCGGACACTCTATAATAGTGGCATTTATTAAGAGACCTGTTCTCCTTTCGCTGCCCCAGCTTATGAAAATTTGATCATGTCACGCAGACAGAGCCGCACAGCCATTTATTTAGGGCTGGATTTTCGCGTGCGTGCTTTCTCCCCCTATCCCCAATTCCAGGTCCGGGAAAACATTTCCCCTCCTCGTCCACCCGGTCCTGAGGACAGGATGGGAGATTGAGGAGAACTCTCGTGGGCAGGGCCCCGAAGTGTGGCACGAAGAGGCTGCTGCGCCTGGAGGCCGGGACCCCAGGCCGTCCGAGCGATTGTGATTAATACCCACTGTAATAATACTTAATAATAATCAATCTTTGACGACTCTGCATCCTCCCGGCAGCGCCTCTTCTTGGCTCTGTGGCCTTGGGAAGGGCTTCGAGGCCACGCACCGGGCCTTCTGGAGCTTTCAGAAGCTCCGGTGGAGGGCGGCTAGAGGGAGGAGGGTGTTGGCGGGGTCAAGGGTCATTAGGGGTAGAGGTATCAAAAATGTACCCGACAGCCACCTAATATTGTTCCCAGTCAGTCTCGTGGGCGCCTAGGGGCTGGGTGCTAGAATAACAGTGACATTCCTGGCTCGGACAAAAGCTGATGACAAGGAAGGCAGAGAACTGGTACCTGTGCCGGGGGAGCTGTTTTTCAGCTTGGACGTTTGCCTTGACTCTTTCATCCAAGGGAATATCTGTTTGGTGAGGGTGGAGTTGGTGCCGGGACCGCACTTGGGGGGACCACTTTTGCTGGGCCCACCCCCATTATTGCTGTTGCTAGTGGCACTGGTAGGTGCGGCGCTGGGCGGGGGTGAGCCGGGCGGGGCGGGCAGGGGCTCGGGGGCCAGGCCCGGCCTCATGCAGCTGCCGTTGAGCTCCTTGCTCTTGGCATGTGGGGCAGCGTTGCTCAGGGACTGCAGTGAGCACGCTGAGCGCTGGTAGTCGCCCTCCAGGTGTGTGGCGGCCTGAAATGGGGGTTGGGGGGGGCCGTCATAGCCGAAGCCATTGCTGCCAGGGTACGAGGAGTAGCCTCCGAAGAGAGCAGCCGCGGTGTTGTCGTAGTAGGTGGCTTTCTGCATCGCTGGATGAGGCCCGGGCAGTGGGTGGCAACTTGCAAAGGCCTGATACCCTCAGGGCCGGACATTGGCAACCCTGGGGGTCACGTGACACGCCGGACCCCCCCCCCCCCCCTCTGTGCCCCCCCCCTTCGGGGCCTGTTCCAAACGCCTGACCTCCGGCGCGGGGGAAGAGACACAAGGGGGAGAAGAGGACTGGGGCTCGAATCCATCTTCGGAACTGAAAAGGGAACTGACAGCAATAGGGTTTTTTCTTCTCCCCTCCCCGACATCTCCAAAGCAGATGCTGAGGCCTTGTCCCCAACCTGAAATGGATTTGTCTTATTTTAACTCTTTAATTTTAAAGAAAAAAAAAAGCCCACTAGTTTTCATTTTCACTAAGAGAAAAATAAATGAGGACTATATGCCTTTCAGGACTGCCTAGAGGTACAATGTACCGCAAAGGCCATTGCTTCTTTCCTTCCTGTGCACTAGCCCCTGACCTCCCCTGCTCTCTCTCTCCCCATCTCTCCTCCCCAACTCTGGGATAGGGTGGCTCAAGGGAGGAGACAGTAGGAGACTCCAAAATAAAAGCATCATCAGCACCTTCCTCTGAGCCCAGAGGCTTCTATGCTTCCAGCCTTTGCCTCCTTCCAAGTCGGTTTAGGTCTCTTGCCCAAGCAAAGTCTAGCCTGAGGAAAACCAAAGGATCTCCTAAAAAGACAGGCAGGAGAAGCAAGTTCAGCAAAGCAGCTTCTCCCGGCGAGTAGAGGTGTCCTTTCCTCTTCCCACCACTCCCCTACCAGGAAGATAACAACAGCCTGACCCAGAAACTTCCTGATGATTTTTAGCCTCCAGAGCCAGCTGAACCGAGACTCATCCATCCATGGCCCTGCTGCAGATACTGCCACCTCCAGTCCCTGGCTTTGCTCAGCCAAGCCTGGGACCCGGCAGCCAGTGGCCCCTTGGGGTCCCCAAATGGAGAGGACTGTTTCAATTTCCAGGGTCGGGCCAATTGGTGCTGTGACCATTTGGCCCAGGTCTCTCCCCAAACCTCTCTTTTTTTTTTTCCGTGAGACTTAATTTTTCCCACCATTTCCTTCACAGTCTGTTTTCTTTGATTTCTCCAAAAGAAAAGAAGAAACAAGAAGTTACAACTGCTGGACCTTTCTAATGAGATGGGGAAAGTGCTGTCCAAAAGAGAAAATTATTCCTGAGGAAGAAAAATCAACAAAGCAATTTGAACAATATTATTCTCTAGGTTAGAAACAGAGGTATCCCTGTTGACTGAGGTTCCCTGGGTGGGGGTGGGGGGATCACTATTTTAATACAGCCTTTTAAAAGCGTGCCAGAAAAATAAAGATTCAAACTAACAGAATTTTGTGTATTTGTTCTGAAACTTCTGACTGCATTTTTTCCCCCTCTGTCTCTCTCAACTCTTCACCATCACTTTTCATAAAACTTCCATACTGCCATGTGTGTTTGGAAAACTTAAATCTTATTCAGCCCAACTGGTCAACTCCAAAGAAAACTAAGTATAGGAAAATAAAATAAAAGGAGTGCAGGTGAAGAAAGTCCCTTCCTCACATAAATCCCCTTCTTCATGGCACAGATTTACACTCAAAAGGGAATCGGTGTAACCCTGAGTTCCCACTGGTTTCTGGAAATACACATGGGTCTGCAAAGCAGCAGGTCCTTCTAGGGAGAACCAGAGTTCAATTGACCAGGCTGACCCAATCCCTTTATTATTATTATCATTAGCCTCTGCTGATTTAACCAAAATTAGCTTCTGAGCAGCCCTGGCTGAAGGGGGAATTAATTAACAGGCATTAGTTGGGGTTGTTATTAATAGATAGAGAAGAGAATGAAATAAAAACGTTGGAGGGGGTTGGCTGGCTGGGCCCTGGCTTTATTTAGTCTCAGTGATAGTTACAGCAATAATAATGATGACGATGATGATAGTCATAATAATAAAACAATAATTTGACTAGCCACCTGGGGCCGAAATTCCTGTCGCTCCCCTTGCAATAAACCCCAAACCATCGCGGGACGGAGGCCAGGCGAGTGTTCAAAGCGAAGGAGCCAGAGACACGATAGGAAAGAATGGAGACTCCGCTGGTTGTGCAGACAGGGCCGGGAAGGTTTGTGCACCCGGGTAGTCCCTGGCTGCTGCTGCCAGGCTGCCTCGGCCGCTGCTGCCTCGGCAGCTGGCGACGAACTACCAGCCCCCTACGCAAAGAGTAAGCGATCAGGACACCAAATCGGTTATCCGCAGCAGGTTCCCAGCACACCAGCCGACCGAGGGCTGAGCTCCGCAGGCGACAGCAAGTTTGGGCGCTGGAAGTAACCGAATTAGAAGGCGCCTTAGAAACTCCACTTCGGGACTTTGCTCAGCAGAGCCCGGGCTCGAGGGCCCCGAGGCCTGGCGGACGGGGCAGTGGGAAGAGGGAAAGGTGCCGGGGGTTTTCAAGATCAGGGATCCAGAACAAGAGGGGGTGGGGAACAGCTCTACCAAGCCAAACAGATCCATTTCCCTTGCCTCCATGTTGGAAAAATTCAGGTTCCATATGGCTCCTTGGGAGGGAGGGAGGGAGATGGTGGCTGCCGGCTTCCCCCCAGGGTCTCGGTGGAGAAGGGAGGTGAGCCCCCCCCAAGAATCCCATCTTGCCAGGCATACCCCAGGGAGAGCCAGGAGAGTAACAATAGCTGGGGAAGCCCCGAGAGAGAGGATAGGCCATCTTCCAGGACTTAAAAAAATTAATGGAAGGAAGAAAAATAAAAGAACAAGAAAGGAGAGTGAAGGTTGAGACTTTCTTAGCAACCGGGGAGAAAATTCATCCCTGGATCTGGCTGCTGAAAGAAAAGAGAGGAGAAAAGAGGAGAGAAGCAGGGAGAGGCAGACAGGGAGAGAGAGGGAGAGAGAGAGAGAGAGAGAGGGAGGGAGGGAGGGAGGGAGGGAGGGAGAGAGAGAGAGTCGCTGCGTGGAAGGAAGCTTAAAGCTTGTGAACTCTTCTTGAACCGAGATTGGAGTCATATGGGCCATAAATCATTGAGACATACTCTCCGCCATTCACAAACTGATAGCCTATTTCAGTCCAGCTTACCTTAGCCACCGACGAGGGGAGAACAGGCAGACATAATATATATTCACATCGAGCCCCAGCGCGAGCGGCAGGCGAGAAATCTCCCCTCCTTGAAGGCAAAGGAAAAAAAGACCACTGTTTAAAGCTGCGTCGCCCCCCCCCAAAGCCACCCCGGCTGGGGAGCCGGAGGGGCAGACCGGCCAGAGGAGCTGCGCGGCGTCCGCTTCAATTCACTCGGCTTAGGAGCAGGGGTGTGCAGGAGGAAGGGGGTGGGGGAGCGGGAAAAAAAATAGAAGACCGAAAGGTGCCGGAGGCTCAGCTCGCCAGAATCTAGCTCCCGGCTCCAGCAGGGCTAAGCCGCCACAGTGTGGTTGCCCTATAAGACTGGTACGCCCTACTCTCCGTAACAATGGCCTCTGCTTTTGCACAGGGAAAAAAAAAACCACACAGACACACACACACACACACTCACTCACTCACACACAAGCTCACACACCCCCCCACCTCTCCCCCTTTAGCAAGCTTAGATGCCTGATAAGGAGGGAAGGTGATGGTGGTGATGGGGAAGGGGGGGAAATTTTAAAATACCCCCCTCCCCAAAAGAAGAGTGAGAAGGAAAGAAGGGAGGGTTTCTTTTTTAAAATACAGGTAAAAATTTAAATCTAGACTGGGGGGACAGGGAGGAAGAAGTGAGCAAAGGCAAGGAAGGGCGGTGAAGTTCACAGCTCCCCCCATACCCCACTAGTAAACCAGTATGCTAATTTGAGAAGTAGCATTTGGAGGCTGAGTCCAAGGCAGGCCTGGCTCGGGGGGTGAGGGGGTGGGGGTGCCGGGTGCCCCTCTGCGCTCATTCGCAATTGGAACGCCAGGACTTTTTTAGAAAGTAGTTTAGCTCCTCAGGGACTGGTGGCTGGGTCTCCAACACTCGCACTCTGACTCCCTCCTTCTGAGTCTCCAGCCCCAGCTTCTTCCCTCCACTACACCCTCTCTGTTCCTCCCCAAATCTCCCCCTAATCTCCAGGCCCAGTCTCTAACCCAGGGAGAGGGAAAGACCAGACCTTTTTTTAAAAAAACACCCCGCCCCCCTGTTCTTTTTGAGAACAGACAACAAGCGGTGAGTGGTTTTTAAAACCCAGAACATCTTGCAGGGGGAGGAGGGTTGAGAAAAGGGTGACAAAAGGAGGACCCTGTATTTTAGCTTGAGCTCCAGACTGGCTGGCAGTAGAGGGGCTGAAAGAACTTCACGGAGAAGTTTCTTTTATGATCCTCGCCTCTGGATAGGCAGAAGGCGTTAAGAGGTGATAAGGACATTTGTACTTCTAAGAAGAGAAGAACTAGCAGGGTGGCTTAATTTTAAATGCCCTGGCAGAGTAGATGGAAGATGGTTATTATTATGATTCAGAACAACCCTGTTTGTTTCTCTCTGCCCTGCAAGATTTATGACTCTTGGCACAAGTGAGGAAGGCCACAAAAGCTAAAGTTTTCTTAGGGTGTGTTTGAGCAGGGCAGGAAAAGGCAAGGAGGAGGCCTGTAGGAGGAAGACAGGAGCCAAAAATGTAGGTGTCTGCAGATTTGGGACAGGGGGTGGGGAATAGTCACTCCAGGAGGAAGGAAAAGACAAAAAGAGCACCAGGACATTTCCCAAAGCAGTAGTGTTTGCAACTCTGCCTAACTGCTGACTCGGAGCTAGGGGATGAAATAGAAAGCAGACTCTTGTCTCTAAAAGCAGCTTGGAAAACTGGTTCTCTAAACTTTGTATAAGGCACTACCCTGTGATTTCCTGGTTAGAATACTTGGCTTTTTCCTTCTCCCATCTGGATGCACCAGGAGAGGGAATGGGACTGGGGAAATCAAAGGTGAGAGATGATTTCCAGCTATTGTGTCCCCTCCAGGATAGGATGGCGGTGTCAGGCAAAGCTTCCCTCATTCCTCTCACTCCCCACTCACAGGTTCTACTTTGGGATGAGAAAGGGAGTGGCCTCTGGCCTTCGGCCCCCACTTCTTCCAGGCAAGGCTAAGTCAGGCCAGGTGAGTTGGAGCAGCCAGTTTCTGGGGGCTCTGATAAACTGGGGGTACCTGTGGCCTTCTTGCCCTCCAGCAACAGGAGCCACATGCAGAGCCTCAGAATGTAATGTCCTGAGGACCCCACCTCCTGTCTAGAAAGTTGGTGGCTGGGGGAAGCACGGGTTGGGGAAGGTGGGAGGTGGGGATGGAGGGTGGAAGCTATTTTTCTGTTTTTATTAGTAGTATCAAGAAAAGAAAATGTCCAAGCCAGACCTAGACTTGGGACTCAAGCCAGCCCGGACCTCCAAAGAGACCTGTTAGGTCTGCCTGAGTATGTAACTGCAAAAAGTCTGTCCTGAGATCTCTACACTCTGGTTAGAGACCTACAGGGTCAGACCCAAATAACTTTGAGCCTGGTGGGTCGGGGACTTGGGCTAGGGAAGCTTCCAGAGGCTTTAAAGGAACCAGCACCTTTGGGATTTTTTCTCTCACTCCCCAGAATAAAATAAAAGCCAAGAATGTACCTCACATCCTCTGCTGTCCTAGCTGTTAATATCATTGGGTTAGAGAAGGTCGCTGTAAAACTGAGAGAAGAGGAGAATCTGATCGCTTTTGGGACTGCACAGCTTTGCCTCTAGGAACAATACGAGAGCCCAGAAAGTGCCCAGCAAGCCTCGGGCCGGCTGCAGGAGAAGCGGACATGGGGCTGAGCTGGAGGTGGAGGAGTGTTCCAGAGACAACAGCAGACCCCTCCCCTCCTCAAGCCTCCTCAACCCTTTGTGGTTCCTCTGGCTACAGAAGGCAGTGGGGCATAATGGGGTGGGAGTGAAAAGAAGGACCGAGAAGCAAGAAAACGAACCTGGAGAAAATCTCAGAGGATATGCACCCCCAAATGCGGTAGGAGATGGAGTGGGGGCTTCTTAATTCTGGAGTACAGAGCCCATTTGGAATGCTTGGGAGGCAATTAGATCCCAGTTTGGTTTCTTTCTTGCCTTTTTTCTTCCTCTTTCGGAGGTCTCTGGCAAGCAAGCAAGCTGCGCCCTGATTAGGGCTGGAAGGCTGGAAGATGGAGGGTATGACAGGCACCCCTGAGGGGCCCAGGTTTGACTGAGGTATTGCTGCTGGCCAAGGGCTTTTCAAACTTCAGGGAACAAAGGCTGGTAGTGAGGAGTTTGGGCAGGGAACTTGGGGTGGGAGACACCAGAGCAGTCTGAGGGAAGACTTTGGGGTCTGGGAAAAGAGAAGTGGGAGAAGGGCTTATCATCACTGACAGTGAAGTCGTGATTTAGGAGCGAACTGGAGATACAGAAGAAGGAACAATTTCTTCTTGGATTCGGGAGGGAAACCTGGGAAACCGTGTGTGTGTACCCACATGTGTGGGGGGTGTGTGTGTGCGTAAGAGAGAGAGAAAGGAGGAGAAAGAAAAATTGAAAAAGAGGAAAATTGAGTAAGAGACAGAGATACTAACATAAACTAATAAAGTCAAAAAATAGTAATAAGGATAGAGATTAGAGAGAATGTCCCTCTTCACAGACATCCTTTCCTCTTCTATTCCGTTTCTTCGGAGCCAGAGCACTTGCCCTGGCACCTCTCTTCCCCACCCCACTGGGTACCCAGTATCAGGGGACCGGAGCACTTTAACCCTCCTTGAGCAACCAAGGGCTGCCCACCCGTCTAGATTCCATGGGATCACGCCTATTTCTCTCCTCCAAAAATGCATCAACTGGCAAACAAAAATTCTCTCAATAAGAGCAAACTGGCTGGCTCTTTTAAAACCGATTTCTGATCTTAAGACTTGGGGCAGTCAAAGATCCTCTCTCTGGCTCAATCAACACAAAATTTGCCTGGTCCAGCGGCTGGCTGGGGAGCTGGGATCTGGGAGCCTGAAGCGAGGTATTTGGCGATGTGCTTCTTCCTGGCCCTGTCTGGGTTCCCCGTCCCACACTGTTTTCCAGCTTCACTGCCCAACTTTGTAGCCCCGGCAGAGTGGCATTAACTTCACACACTCACCCCAATCTCCATCTTCCCTTAAGTATTAATAAAGATTTCAAAGCTGGGGGTTGTAAAGTGGGAATTGCTAATGAAGAAGGCTCTTGGCATTCGGATCCCCATTCCCAGTTCTCCAATAAACCAGAGAGGGAGGGAACAAAGAGGCACCAGGAAGGGAGACGAGAAGGCCCGCTTAGACCCTGCTCAGCAATAGTGGGGATCAAAAGAAGAAAAAGGTCGCTGCAGTGGAAGAAGAAAAATCCAAGCTGTACTTTTTCCCCATCCCAAGTGTGGGGGCACTGCCCTCTCCCCAGCAGAGCCCGTGAAGGGGTGGCAGGACAAAAAGGGCAGCCACAAGGGTCTGCAAAGTCCACTCGATGACATGGAGGCCGCCTTAACACGCTAATGAGGGGATGGCGGTGCTGCCAGCAAAGTGGAGAGCCTCAGGCAGGTGGGCTCTTTGGTGGCGATAGACCCCTATCTGAATCAGGGCTCCTGCCTCATCTAGCAGCTCAGCCTTAGCCTGGCAAACCCCACCCCCAGTAAGTGTTGAGACAAAGGTAGGTAGAGCAGAGAAGGCAGAGGAAGGGAGGCTGTGAATCCTGGGCAGCTTAGGGGCTGCAGGGGGTGCTGGGAAAGGGAGGGAGAAACAGGAAAAGAGGAATGGGCCCAGTCCCCGAGGCTGAGCAGGCCTCTCCTGACAGATTGGATGTTTCTCGCCCAGTGACCTCTGTTTAGCAGACAATAACTCACTGGATTAATGACCAATCAGCGAAAGGTCTTCCGAATTGTCTCCAAATATAAAACTCCAAAGTCAGAACGGGACAGGGCCAGAGTCTGGGCCTGCCAGCCCTTTTGTTTTTTTCTCCTCAAAATAGGGTTTGGGGCCGTGCGCGGTGGCTCAAGCCTGTATTTGCAGCACTTTGGGAGGCCGAGGCGGGTGGATCACGAGGTCAAGAGATCGAGACCATCCTGGTCAACATGGTGAAACCCCGTCTCTACTAAAACTACAAAAAATCAGCTGGGCATGGTGGCGCGTGCCTGTAATCCCAGCTACTCAGGAGGCTGAGGCAGGAGAATTGCCTGAACCCAGGAGGCGGAGGTTGCGGTGAGCCGAGATCGCGCCATTGCACTCCAGCCTGGGCAACGAGAGCGAAACTCCGTCTCAAAAAAAAAAAAAAAAATAGGGTTTGGGGCTAGGCTTTAGGAAGTGGATTATCTGCACAGAGCCTGAGATTTCCCATCCCATCTCCTTCTTCTCTCCTCCACCAGAATTCATATTCCAAGCCACACTTCCCAAGGCAGCCTGGAAACCTCCCCTCCCCTGCTAGCCTCCTCACATCCCTGACCCTACAGGAAATTTTCTTGCTCACGATCATGATCATGCAACTGAGAAGCCACCACTCCTTTGGAATTGGGAGAGGAGCTGGAAAATAAAAGCAAATATAGAGTGGGGGTCTTCCCCCTTGCAGAACTTCTGTCCTGGCTGCTCCAGAGGAGATCCGGCAGAGTGCTGTGCCTCCTGTGTGTGCCTCCTCCCAAGAAGCAAGGGCCCAAAGGCCCAGGGTTGGGGTGAGGCTGAGAAGGGGGGCACCTGCTGTCACAGAATCCAAATTCTGAAACCACTGCTCAGTCCCTGGGCTGGGGTAGGGGGCACCTTAAAAACCACACTCTGTTGGGAGGCCGAGGTGGTCGGATCGTCTTTGGGAGTTGGAGACCAACCTGACCAACATGGAGAAACCCTGTCTCTACTAAAAATACAAAATTAGCTGGGTGTGGTGGCACATGCCTGTAATCCCAGCTACTGGGGAGGCTGAAGCAGGAGAATTGCTTGAACCCAGGAGGCGGAGGTTGAGGGTTGGAGTGAGCCGAAATCGCGCCATTGCACTCCAGTCTGGGCAACAAGAATGAAACTTCATCTCAAAAAAAAAAAAAGAAAAAAAAAAAAAAAAGCACTTTGAACAATGATACCCTAAGCCCAGTGCCTGGCAGGGAAAGGGTCTTGTTGCTCAGTGAGGCCTAGCTCTTATTTCCTTAGCCCCTCTCCAAATGCCAATCTCAACCCAACCCAGCTAGCTAGCCCCTCTCCACTGCCTTCTAGTTCCACTGCTCTCCTCAGGGCTATTACTCAGCAAGAATAAGGGCATCTTCAGAAGGAGGAATAGTACAGATTCCAGTGGATTTCCTAGAGCCAGACTGAGTAAGCATCCACTGCTCTAGGTATATGTAAACTCTGAATACTGCAAATAAACATGCAGTAACTTCTATACCCAGCTGCCCACAGAGCACCAGGACACACAAGGGACTGCCTCCCACGCACTGTCCTGCAGAGGATGGCTACACATAGAGGTGCCCAATTTTAGAACAGGGGAGAAATCAGGGATTGTCTAGTCCAACTTGTTACGGATAAGGAAACTGAGGCCCAGAGCAAGGAGGTGATTTGGCTAGAACCATACTTGGGATAGGCTTGGGAGTCAGAAGTCTTGAATTTTAGAAGTTCCAGCTTGGCTGTGTGACATGAAGCAGAGCACTCCTTGGGCCTCAGTGTCCCCTTCTGTAAAGCCCGGGCATGTGTATGGAGGGAAGGGGTTTAGCTAAATGATATTTAAGGTCTCTTTTTGGATTGAATGTTAGTGATTCTTCATGTGCTGATATAAAAGTGAGTGACAATAAGAAGTAATAAACTGAGTTCTGATAATAACGGCACCATCGTGACCAGATTTGGAGTATGGTCACTGGGTTTACTGCTTTTCTGTATGTAGGGTGGGTTGTTTTCTATCCTCATCACCAAACCCAAAGTGCTATTTTTAGACACTGCAACTTGAGCAGTAAATAATTAATTTGTATAATTAAAGGAGGAAGCTTTCAACCTGGCAATTTTTAACCAGGCACAATGCACCCATTGTACCAGCCGAGCCTTCTCACCCGACCCCCACCCCCTGCCCACACACCTACCACCCTCCCCAGTTGCCTCCCCCTCAGTTGGAGACCAGCATTCCCCAGATGGCCAGCAGGGTCCACAGGGCTAGACTGTGTCCCTCACAAAAAAGTTCCACGCTTTGCTCTGCTTCCCCATAGAAATAGGTCTGTCAGCAGCTGCACCTCAAGCCTGCTTTCCCTACCCCCAAAGCTGTACTGGGCTCCAGGTCTCTGCTCTCTGCTCTTGGGAAACATGTAATCTACCTCCCTAGCTCAAGATGCCCCAACAATGCAGCGAGTTTGCATTTCAAGAAACTCCCATTAATATCAATTTACTTCACTGAAACCTCGGGTTCTTCATCAAGTTGATGATTTATGATAAAATCAATTAAATTACGGCCACTTAGGGCCCAGCCGCTTCCTCTCAGATTTCATTGGTGCGGGGCCCAAGTGTCTGGTGGAAAAATGCAAGTTTAGCTGGAGGCGAGGAAAGATAATTCTGCGGCTGAGAAAATTTAATGCAAAACAATTTCCAGGCAAAGCTGGGCGTCTGGACAGAAATGCAAGAGCCACTAGTTGGCCTGCGGAAATTGCTATCTAGGGTCAAAATGTTTTTCTCCCCACCCCCATCATCCTGCATGGCTCCCTCACTCTGTTTGTCTTTGTATTCACTTGTTCCCCACACCCAAGCAGAGATTTGGGGGGAATTTGAGCAGTAATGGTGGGACACAAGGCTGCCAAGGCCCAGCCTCAAACCACGGATCTTCCCGATCTTCCCTTTCATCCTAAGCCTTTCCTCCTTTTGCCCTCCCTTCCTCACCCAACCATGCTCACTAATTCCTTGGCTTTCTATCACAAAGTAAAAAATTCAAAGTGAAAATGAGGCTGGGTAGGCAGAAGGCACAGGAGGCACACTGGAAAGGGCAGAGGGGCAGGGGCCAGGAGGCCAGGCCAAGTGGGCTCTACTGCATATGGCTGTGGGAAGGAAAAAGCAGGAAAGAACACTACTTCATGGACAGGACCAGGAAAAGTGTGTCTAGTGTTACCACATCCCAGAGTTCCAGAACCAGAGAACATGGATCTCTCTCCTGGCTCCCAATCTCACAGCTCACACAGTGGTTCTGCAAACTCGTCCCAAAAGCTCCAGCTGTAGAACATGCAGCTCCCAATGTGCAGATGCACTCACACAATACACAAACATACCTACACATGTGCCTGCTTACACGCTCCCTTTGCACACACCCATCACACCGTGCGCCTGCAAAGGGACAGTTCCCACTATCCTCCCTTGTCTGGGAAAATAAATCCCAGTGCATCCGGCTGGCATCGCCTCCCGCTCCAAGGACAGGAGCTTCTCTGGCCTCTGCTGTTTGGTTTTTGGTTTCCAGAGCAGGCAGGAGTAAACACAACTTCTCTGAAGCCATAAATCACCCCCTTTCCTACCTTCTGGGCTTAACACTCAGCCTCAGTGCAATCCCTTGTAGTTTTGGCTTCAAATAACCCGCTAGGTGCTAAAGGGCTGGACCATGGTGTCAGCTGGGTTGTGGAAGCTGACCCAGCCAACACCCCTTAACCCCACTGCCCCTAGCAGATGCCCCTCACATTTCCCTCAATACCCACAGCTCCCAACTACCCTGGAAAACCCTCCAGAGCCTCAACACCCTTCCTGAGCAGAGAGCTCTCCCATCCCCTAACCCGATCCTGTCCACATGCGTACCCAAACAGCTCCACATTCCTCCACTCTCGTCCTCCACCCCAGGTCCCTCTACCCACTCGAAGGCCCCACCCTACTTCTCAAAGTTGCTCTCATCTTTGTTTTCCATTCGGATCCCGGCCTGTCCCGGGAGAGAGGCCTGGGGGCGAGGGTCTCAGCCACCCACCTCTACACGTCCGCCAGGCCCCAAGTGCCCAGCCTCCACACCCCACACTTACCTGCGCGGTCTTCCGCTAGGGCTCTGGCAGCTGCAGGCGACCGGTCGCGGAGTGCGCACGGGGGCCGACTGCCAGGCCCCGGACCCTCGGCCCCGGCTGGGGCTCCACTGCGGCCGGCCGCATCCTGGTCACTCAACCCCCAGCAGGCCCCTGGGGGAGAGGCCCGGATGCGCTCACCCCCACCCCGCCCACGCCCCCGCCCCCGCCCCCGGCTTTGTTCGGCCTCCGGGGCCCCAGGAGCGAGCGGATCTGGCACTCCGGCGTGGCCGGCGCCCCTTTCCTGAGAGGCTCCCACTACGCCCGGGCCGCGCAAAGCTGTGGAAATCCCGGGCTCGTCTGGCACCGAACTGGGCTCGGGCTTTGAGAACAGGCCAAGTTGCCAGGCGAGAGGAGCAGCGACTGACAGGGGCACGGCGAGGCGCGGGGAGCGCTGGGGGCGCCATGGCGGAAGGCGGGCACACCGGCGGCTCTTCAATGTCACCAGCGAAATGGGTTCCATATGTCCGACCCAGCGGAGAAGGGAGGGGAAGGGAGAGTTCTGGGCAGGACGGGAGCGCTGGGACAGGGAGTGGGGCAATGGAGGCAGCAGAGCAATGGGGAGGGGGCAATGGAGAGGATCAGAGGGGCCAGAAAGGTTTGCAACTCCTCTTTTCCCTCAAGTTTTCTAAAGCTGCCTAGGCTGGTAGGAGCTTTCTTTCCCTTTTTCCTTTTCTTGTTCTTTCCTGTAAGATGGGGAGGAAGGAGATTAGTAGGGGAAGCATCCGCTTGTTAAGGCCGGGAGTTTGAGGGAGGATATGTGGATTGGAGGTGAAAGTTCTTAAGCGGCAAGATCAACAATTTCCCCAGGTCTCCAGAGAAAGAAGAGACCAAACTCACAAGGGGAAGAAAAGCCAAGAAACGATTCCAGGGTCCAGGTGTGAAAGACTGGTCCTAATTCCTCCCACCCCCATGATGACATTCTGTTTGGGAGGTCCCAATGGTTAAATTACTGAGGCTGGTGATGGTGGTGGATGCTGAAGTGTCCTG